CCCCTCGAGAGACAGTGTTTCCAGTGGCTTTATTGCTTCATAGACGCCCGCGAACCCATCTTGTGAGTTCTCGGGGAGAGTAGACATAATGAGGTTGGATCTGTGGCGTGAATCTTGCTTGTGACTCTAGGTAAAATTGAACCATGGCCTTAGTTAATGCTTCAGAGTATCCACGGAGAAGTGGTATAATCTTGAGGATGGCAGAATTGAACGTTCCATAAATCTGCATCAGAGAGAGTTCTCCAGGGTAGTCAACCATGATAAGGGGAGCATGTCGAAGGAAACGTTCGCCAAGTGGAGTACGACCGGCATCAGTTGGAGGGTTACAAGCACCAACAAACTGAATGCGATCTAGTGTAACCCAAGTTTTATCCGTCGTCCGCCAGAAGCCGTTTTGCTCAACTAGCTGTCTGAGGAAGGAAATTGCGCGTTGTGTACCGTATTGGTCAGGGGCTGGAAGATTTATTTCGTCACAGAATATCACCAACCAGCGACCAATCTGATTGGGAGACATAACAACGCCATTAAGAGTTTTCTTGTACTCGCAGTATTGCTCGAATGTCTTAATGAGAAGATCAGGAGTCGTAGCACTAGAAAAGTTAAGTCCAACGACTTCCATGTTAGGAAGCTTTCTCAAGGCGGAGAACAAGGTCATGGTCTTTCCGGAACCAGGAGGGCCGCAGAGCAGGAGTGGTTTATGCTCCGCCAGCCATGAATAAAGAACATCTTCGTGGCGCACCGTGTCCAATGTAGGGATAATGACATCTGTTTGCGTGACGGAGTGTGTATTTATCTCAATAGATGGCACTTGTGATTGCCAAGTGGTCCATTCAGCTTTAGGAAGTGAGACATCAAAGTCTATGAGGGAAGAAGTTTCATTGAGTAGGGGAGAGTCAATCGTAGAAAATGCAGTGACATATTCTCCGAATGCTTTTCGGTCACCTAAGGTGCAGTCACCAGTAAGAGACCAAACAAGTGCTAGTAAAAGCTTCTTCGACATGTAAGACTCGGCTTTCTCTGGGTCCAACGGGAAATCAATATGCTGAATATTGTACTCAAGGATATTTCGGCAGGACTTATTCAGTAAGCTGAAGAGGGTGTTAAGAGCCCGAATATCACTGAATTGCATGATGTGATTATATTTTTTTGCCTCTTCGAGTGCTTTTAGAATGAGGTCATCGTTCTGGAGGAGGCCTTCCAGCAAGTTGGCAAGCATTTTCTGAGTTTCCAGCGTTTTCGCGGAAGATTGGCCAGATGGTACGCTATCATCATCAAGATCTTCAAAGGTTCTTGTTTTCAAAGACTCAATATAGTTGGTCACCATCATATTGGGAGTTACAGTGTCGTCGCTAAACCAGACCATACCACATCGACTAACTGTTGCAAGAGTGGCGTATTTAAGAGTCTCAACTTCGAACATAATCCGGACATTTGCAGGCAGATTCAGACGTTCGCCGTTTGGAAGAGTAAGTAATTTGTTGTCATCCAAGACGCTGTTCAGATTTTCCACCCATTCCGGATCAACATCTCCATCGAATACAATCCAATGTCGTTTTGAATCCTCACCTCGAAGGTTATCGACGATTTTTCTGAGAATTCCAGTGAAGAGACCATCAGTCCATTCTCGTGTAGTGCTATCAAGGTTACCGTAAAGGGCTTCCTTAGACATGACCTTTGAGTCGATAACATGGCAAACTCCTTCGATCCCTTCCACTCTCTGCATTGCCTCGAGTAGTGTCTTCCAAGCTGCACTTTTACCAGCACCGGATCTTCCCACCATCATGACACCATGGTGGATGCCCTGAATCTGGTAAAGTTGCAAGGTCTTCGCGATCCATGTGTCACTAGCAACGTAATGATTTTCCCAGGCGATATCGCGAATGGCCTGCGTCAGCTTCTCGAAGTTCGCCGGAACATACTCAACTCCAGGGAATTCATCAGTCTGGATCTGCAACATAGTCTCAACATCTTCTCGAATGAGTTTTGGCGCAATTGTTTCCCTAATGCTTTGGACAATGATTTGGGGTTCGATAATCTCATTAGGCCCGAGGTCGCCGTCGGAATTTGCAAGACGTAACCGTTTAAGTCCACCAGAGCTGACAAGGACACTCTTCAAAGCACGTAGACCAAAATCGTAATGTGCTTGTTTCGTCAGGCGTTTGGCGCAGTGTTCAAAGAATGGAACAGTTTGTCTTGATAAAGGCTTGGCCTGTTTGAATCCTTGGGAGAAGAGCATGACTTCTGCAATTAATTCCTTATCGGGCTTGGACATAGCTACACTGCGGAATAGCTTCTTCAAGTTGTCAGGAAGGTTGGATCGACCAGCGTATCCAGGGTTCATCGTGATGAAAATTCCAGTGTTCAAGTTGACCCGCAGTTGGCGACCGACGAGCTCGATTTGGGCCTTCTGGTCATCGCTACTATTTTTCAGCCCAATCTGAATATTTTGAATCTGCTGTGAAACCGCAGACAGAATCCTTTCCTCCAGACGGTTGAATTCATCGAAACAGCCCCATGCACCCACTTGACAGATACCCAAGAAAATTCTGCCCATGGCTTGGAAGTCAAATGTATCATCACAGCAGAAGACAAGCGTAAATCGACCGAGCTGAAGGCCTAATGCTTTGACTGATTCAGTTTTTCCAGTTCCAGCCGGACCGTACGGAGAGCCACCCAGTCGCTGACACAACGCTTGAGTAAGCGTCAAGAAACAACGGTCTGTCAGCGGAGTTCGTACGAGTCGTTCAGGGACACCGAGGTACTCAAAGCCGTAATCCAGTTTCGCGTTTGCCATGTGGACGTGAAGTCGCTGTGAAAAGTCTCCTTGAGCCTGGTATACATATCGCATTTGTAAAAGCCAGAGATAGTGTGTTGGTGAGGAAGCATTAAACTTGATTAGCTTGGCAATCGAGTCTCGTTGATGAACAAATTCCGTAATTAGATGTTCGCATTTTTTTCTCGTGATAGGGTCCAAGTCTCCAAGGACAGTTACAGCAAGCAGGTCAAGAACCCGTACCTCTGCATCATAAAGCGCGGGTAAGCCACTTCCCCCGGCCTCAAGAGCGGATTGGACAGCTTGAGTCCAGACAACTTGACTACTAAGAACGACTATCTGAGCTGGATAATTGGCGAGGAAGTCGCTAAATGCAGTCTGATCGACTTCAGGGGCGCTATAAATGGGTTCGAATTGTTCAATTGCCTCCGCTAGCAATTCAGCCAATGTTAGCTTCATGTTAGTATCCAAAGCACTCAGCCAGTCATTGATCCTCGGGGTTTTAATAGGCGAAACCTCTCGCTTCAGCCTAACTTCCTCTCCTTCTTTTGAGCTGAATCCAACAATGTTGCCGTCGTCATCCATCAATAAACCAGAGAGTCCAGCAAACATCTTCTTGAAGTGTTTCGCAACACGAAGGGTGTCATTGCTATTACCAATAATCTCAAGGAGATCTTCGTCACCAACGAAATAAAACCGTGGGAAAGACATGCGTTCTCGCTCCAAGTACTCTCCAAGGGCCTTTTGGATTTTGTGAAGAAGCTCCGCCAATCGCTCGAGGGACTTTTGAACTCCAGCAATAGCAAGAATGTCTAAGACGAAGGGGGACTTATAGACCTTCTTCATGACAGCGAAAAATTCGGAATTGATATTTTGGAATCGGCCAGATTCGACAGGAAGCAAGTGCTTGATATCCGCATTTCCAGTGAAAACGCCCTCAAGATACACCCATTGTCGCTGAACGTCAATCCAGACATCGAAGAGAACGTGAACTCTGTTTAGTTTATCCTCCCAAGAACTAGCGTCTTCCTCAAATTCTTTGTAATAAGGTGAATGCTTCATGGCTTGAAGAGAGTTGAGGTTCTCGCTGCATTTAGCGAACAGGTCATCGAAGCCCTTGATCAAGCGGCATTTGTTCTGGTAGTTCACAAGGTCGAGAGAATAATTTTGCCATGTTTCGCGGACCATTTTTAAGAATTCTTCCAAGGCCATTTCACCTTGCGCTTGGGCGATAATATCACGAATAACAGATTCGCTGGCAGCCAGCTGCAGATCCCAAACGTCACCAAGGGTGAGTGAGATTTGGGAGAACCGTTTGCCTGGTTTAAGAACTTTAAAGATCTTTTGCCAATGTCGCTCCCGGACGGCTTCGGATTTCATATCGGAAAGCAAAGGATTCACTTTGAGAAGCTGGCGCAAAGTAGCCTGGATATGTTCGAAGGCAGCATATTGTCGCATCCGACTCGGCATTTCCTTTGTCATTTTGATAAGCCCGTCAAGCGACTGGCGAAGTTTTCTCGGCTGGACACTATTCCATAGCACGTCCCTTAGTTCATTCAAGCTTTTCCAGATCGTTGACAATGCTGCCCAGACCGACATGAAATCCTGCACTTCTTCAAGTACAGCCGCAAGAGCCGTTTCCGGACTTCCGGGCAAATCAAGCGCCTCCTTCGCTTTGGTGACCATTTCAGATTCAGAGCGGAGGTTTTCCAATCGTGATTGGAAGGAGCTCAGTGTTCTAGAGGCCTCTTCCGGCGGAATAGAGCCGGAAACAGGCTTCTCCTCGTTCCACTGGTGGATTATTTCGGAGATCTTGTTACTGATAACACGGTCCTCTGCAATGATTTTTGCCTGAAGGGCATCAGTTTGGTCTTGCACGATCTTACTCTTTCGTTCAAGGAGCTCGCTGAGGGCGTTCCAGTCATCCCGAACTTGCTCAACATGTAACCAGTCGCTGGGGAAATGATAGCGCTGTCGAGTCAGGGTAGCCTGACCCTGGAGGAAGAGATCAACTTCCGGGCCCCACACTCGCGCCTTTCGCTTGCATTGCTGGACGATTGTAATGAACGAAACGGCATGGGCAGTTGATGAAGCTTCCAGCGTCTGGCTCTCCAGATCTTTCTTGGCAGAGACGATTTCATCATGGACTTCGCGCATACGACTGGCAAACTTGCCGCCAAACTTGTGCAAAATTTCGTGTTGCCATTGGTCATATCTGGCATTAACCTTGGTCTGCACTTGCTCATAATCGATCCTAACATTGCCGAACGATTTGCCAACTTCAGAAGTATCAAATGTTGCGCGGCTTTTACGGATTTCCTGGAGAAGTTGCAACCATCGGGACAAATCGTCACCCAGCGTGTCGTAAACCTGGGAGGCTTGAAGATCCCACAAGGATTGAAATTGTAGCCATTTATCCACGTAGTCCGAGATGTCTTCTAGTCTAGCACCAATTACGGAATACACCTCGACTAATTCACTAGTACAATATTGTGGGAGATTTGTGAAGTGGGTTTCAGATAGCCGAGCCTTTTCCGTCTCGATCGACATCTTATATCGCGCCGATTTAATTTTCTCTAGATTGCAAAGAACTCCAACCCATTGGTCGAAATGAGCAAACCAGCTAGCTCTTGCGTACTCCAGAGGAGGATCTAAGCGAAGTACTTGATTTCTCATGGAAATTTCATGGAAAAGCTTGGGGAACTCAATCGTGTAGGTTTGCGTTTCGGCGTCATTTGCTGTCTTCGAGGTTTCAGGATACGTTTTCCGTTGGACACCGTTCTCATCATACTTGATTTCCTGGAACGCTAAAATCCACTCTCTTATCGCGCGGTGTAAGCGCTCTTGGAGAATAAGTTCGATTGTCTTGTTCATATTAGAAACCCAATAACCGAGATTCACATAGTTCTCTAGGTTCAATTTATCGACAGAATTTTGGATTTCATCCAGGCGCTGGCGGAAGATGGATGCATCGTAAGGGCAAGTCCTGAGATCGGTAATGGCTTTCTGGATACTTTCGTTAATTGCAAAGAGTGTTGAAGTTTTCGACTGAAGAACAAAGGCCGAGGCAGCAAATTCGCGAACAAATTGAACATGCTTGCTTTCACTTCGACCCTGCGCTGGTGAGGGATCAACTGCCCCATTGGCCATCACCTGCTTGATGTGGAGTTCATAAGAATGTATAAATGACTCCCAGCGCAATGGAAGACCCTTCATGATTAAAGCCTGGACGTCATTTTTGTACCCACTCAAAAGAATGGAAACCTCAGCCATAGATGAGATCGAACGCATTGTTTGCAAGGCAGTTCGGACACTTTCAATTAAACTGATGGCGTATGGGTACACTCGTTTCGCTTCTTTGGAAATCGTGTTGATAGCATGAGGAACTTGATAATTGAGCCAGACAAGGTTTCTAACTTCCTTGAAAAGCACAATAATCTGCGGGTCGAAATTAACATCTAGTTCTAAAGTGTTTCCCGTCGCACGATTGCGGAAAATCTTAAACAAGCGGCCGGAAATCGTAATATTTCGTCGTTGAACATCCTGTAACCAGTTCTGAAATATAGGTCGCGTATCAAGCTTCTTTCGGAACATGTTACTTTCAGCCTGGAGTTTCTGCCCTTCAGCGTGCAAGTCCCAGTCTTCTCCCAGAACGTCCTCGACCTTTCTCATATAGCCATCAAGCTGCCGTTCAATCTGACGAGCCCAGACAATTGCACCTGATACCGGAGGAAGATCTCGTAGCTGCGCCATGGGATGTGCTTGAGAATGGCCATACTGTTGCTTGAATCTCTCATGCAGTTTCGCAATATCGTGCTTAACTAGCTCGATTAATTCAGATTGGTGTATACTAATAGCACTTCGAATCTTGGGTCGGACAAGCAGGGCATTGAATTTTGAAAAGACACGGAACATCTCCGTAGCGTTCTTCGCGGTAGCCAGGCGGTCCTTTAGTTGGGCGATTATTGAATTTTCCACTCTAGAAGTGCGCTCATTATATGAAGCTTCGGCCTGGATCCATATTTGAGTACCTTCTTCAGATACGTCTAGAACGTCGACATCCTTCAAAGACGCATATGCTTGAGAAACTTCATCCAGGGCATCGACATCACCAATTTCTTCCACGGTCACAGCTCCATCAGTATTAGCACCTGCTGACATGTTTGCGTTAGGTCCAAGAACGTTCACGATAGTTCGTTGCAGCTGTTCGTGGTTGTTGCGGAAGGTATTGATGTACTTCAATCGATCTTGAATTGCGCTATGTCTTGGTTCCACTTTGATGGAGATGAACTTCTCATTCCGCCGTCTTATAGCATCACGAGCAACATTTGTAAATTCCTTCACATTCTCATCCCAGGCGCGCCAGATGACTTGAGCTGACCGCATTAAAGCGCGGAATTCTTTAAAACTTAAATGCATGATAGAGCGTCCGTGTATCAGGGTTCGGATTTGGGTATCCAAATCACCGGAAATTGCCTCTACCAGTAAAAGAGAACGCTTGATAGGATAGGGGCAAATGCGGAGTTTCTTGTTCAAATGAGAGAATATAAGGTTCAGGGCATCGTGCACCTTCGGTAGAGAGGTAGCGGACAAAAGTTCATCAAGTGGGAAATCTCGCATAAGTTGATTGTATTTCTGGACCGTTTCCGCAGTCTCCTTTAGTCCGGTATCTGCTGAAAAACTAAGTGTTACATTAAATCGTTTTGCATGCCGCAGGATATCCATCGTAAGTTGCACTCCATCACTGCGTAGCTGGTCCTCGATCGCTTCCAAGGCGGTTTCCATCGATAACCAAAAATTGATTTCCTGTATTGCGGATCCCTTGATATCATCCCTAGACATTTGAGTGGTAGTCTGGATTGATTTGATCCAGCCATTCACAATGTTCTGGATGCTGTTAAGAACAATGGTATTTTCAAGCACTGATGCCGGGATGAGATCGGTAGAAGGTTTAATTCCTCGTGCCGCAGCCTGGTCCAATGCTCCCTGGACGACCTCATGCAATGGAAGATTCAGCACGGGAATTTCAATGTTCTCTTGTAGCTGCAACAGGCTTGATTTCAACTCCGCAATCTTCTTTTTGGTTACAGGCACTCCCGTCTTCGCATCGCTATCGCCCCTCCCTTTCACCCCATTCACCCGTTCCTGGCCACTCGTATAGGCATCAAAATACGGTCCCAGTACATGGTTAACAAAGGTATGAAGTGTCTGAAGAGGTGAAGCTGTTGTAGTGCCTTGATTCAAAGCCATCTGCATCGGTGACAGGAAGCCCGGAAGACTCGTAGCATGGACTTGGGCGGATATTGGGATATTCGGATCTAATGGCTGAAGCTGCCTCGTGAAGGCCATCGAAGCAACGGTGGTAGGGGAAAGTGATAACTCGAGGGTGAGGATATACAAATATCTAGTTGGGGAAGCTTTCAAACGACAACAAATAAGTGTTAGCTCTTTTTCAGGTATCATGCCTCCGACATAGCATGTTAAAGAAGTATGTTAACTTACGGGTACCCTCCTCCGTCCCGTTCGTCTGTTCCAGCTCAATAGCATCCTTTTGGACATACAATGCAACCTGAGACTCTGAGGCGAAACGAGAGCACCGTTGAATGGTTTCAGGGTATTTTGCCTTGGACAAGAAGCTTCCAGCGCTCTCTAAATCGGTTTTCAGAGCGTCAAGTGTGCTCTGTAGGGTCTCCGTTAAATATTGGACAACAGTAGCCGGATCAACAGATGGAGGTTGACTGGGCGGCGCAAGGCCGTTGGGCACCCCTGGCAGAACCACCTCCATGTTGGCATCAAAATGAGGATTGTTGCTCGACAGTCATGAGGGTGGGGTATTTAGGGGAAGAAAAGAAGGCCACAAAGCCTATTGTACATCGACCGATATGGGGTGGTCATTTATTCACGTTGTCGATAAGTTGTAGACGTATGCATCACCTCTGATCGAGAGACTAGGATGGAAACTTTTGGTTGCACGCGGCGTGTTATTTGGTCACGGGATCCCGGCGTTGGGCATGTCAGGGGCAAGAACACTAGTCCATTCCAGGATTAGTACTCGTTCAGGGCCATTGCTGGAACCTTTCGGGTGTTCCTTGCGTTTCCAGGCCGCAGCTTTAGCTTCATCCAGGCTGGACAATTTCAGGAGGTGGGAACCAAATTACGCATCGTTCATCTGGAAATTTTTAAGCGTGAACTATCTAGCAGAGATACTGCCTCAATTTCAAACGAACATCACAAACACTTAAAAAGCAAACGAATAAAAAAATTGGGTAGAGGACGGATTCGACTATCTCGAAACACAATCACCAATCTCCGAAGGGACCCCCTTCGGGGGAACATGCCCCACTCCAAGAAGGGAGCGAATTAATCATTCTCCACATACAGATATAGGCTTCACATTCTCTGGGCTACATCCGTAGTTTCTTCCACCTTGTTGGCCGCACAATTACAACCGTATATTTCACGGAATTTGAACGAAGCAAGGCCTTCCAACTTCGCCAGTGCAGCGTCACTGGCTTTGGTTTTGGCGTACCGTACGGATGAGGCAATACCTTGGGCCACAAACTTATCGTGGACGATAACCGCTGCATATATCCGTGGTTCTGTGCTATCTACCATTTGCACCTCACCCGCCTTCAAGCAGTAGTTAGCGCATCCAAAATCGATCGTTAGTCGGTTGTGAAAGTATGTCTGCAAGCAATGTTAGCCACGAGCCTTGCACATTTACAGTACATACATATCATACCTTACAGAACATAGACGTTTGTAAGTACATATATGTACTGTAAATGAGGTGGTGCGATGGCTGTGGATACATACTGTTGGGTGCTTGTTTGCAAAGGCGTCGTAAATGCTCATGTCCTCAAAGTACTGTTTGAGATATCGCTGGAAGAAATCCTCTACCACCTCAAAACTGAAATTCGAATCGACAAATATTGCCCCAATATATGCCTCTAGCATATCCGGCAAGCACTACGACGTTCGTCAGCTACCGAATTCCTTAATGCTCAAGAATCCCACCACATACCTTGGGCGGATCGCTGGTCGTTGTCCAGGCATCTGGAGAATCGGCACTCTCGGCCACTGCAACTTCAATCTCCTCGGCGTACCTAGTGATTTGGCCAAAAAGAGCATTGCTAATATATAGGAGGTGTTTATGTAACCCCAACTTAACAGTGACTGCACCCAGAAACTTATTTGATACCATAGCCATCTATTAAACCGTTAGCTTTGTCTTATTACTCATGATCCTCCTCCTCCTCCTCCTTTTGACTTAGACTGGGACCTTACCTTATGTTCTGTGAGCCATTGAGGATCCCGATCAGGATAATGATGATACAGATATTCGACACAAACCATGTCGAGTAAAGAATCGCCTAAAAACTCTAGACGCTGATAGCACGGAACGGTACTCCATGCTGACGGGTATGATGCATGTGTGAACGCGGAACGGAGCAACCTTGGATACGTGAAGTGATATCCTAACCGGTTGCCTATTTGCTTAGCCAAGTCAAGTTGACCCGCATCCGCTTGGGCAATTTGATAGCTTGGTAGTGAATATAGGTCGATATAACTATTCCAATCAGAAACTCGGTGGTTGTCGCTGTCCACAAACACAGTTACTGCCTTAACTGCCGTATCGAACCGACAAGCTTTTCCTCCTGACAACAAGGAGGCCCCGATAAGTGCCTCGCAAATATCCGCGATTGTTTTGTCGCCCAAAGCCTGTTTGTTTTGTGCTGATTCAGGCTGAGCTTTTCCTTGAAGAAGCTTGATGCCCTCAGGATACCAGTTACGTCTATCATTTGTCAGCTGTAAGCACTGAAGTCCGGAGTCCTTGGGAAAACAAACCTTGAGAAGCCCTGCGTGCGGACAAACTCGTAGAGTTTGAGACGAACAGCAGTATTGAACAGATTTTGGTTGCAAATCAGACACATCCTTTTAACGTGGAAATCGAACTCGTCATTGTCAGGGTTCATCGCAAAAAGGGAGATCGAAGTAGCCATCTTCAGAAAACAATCCCCTAGGAACTCCAACCGCTCATAATTCTTACCCATTCCACGTTGGAAATGAATCTGTTCCTTTCGATGCTCTTCAGTGTTATCTGAGTCCTTTGTTAAGGCTTCTAGAGCGAGATGCGTCTCGATACTGAGTTGAAGTTTGTCGCATGCCTCAAGAGAAATCAAGTAGGACTCTATGCGACTAATAATAGCCGGAAATGCAAAGGCAAACGCGGCAACCGGTGGGGGTAACTACTAAAATTGTCAGTTTTGCAAATTATCCTATTCGTAAAGAGACCTTACAGCTGATATCCTCAGAGGTTCTGGACAAATATAATACGCCGTTTCTTCTCCCCTTTCCTGTTCCGTTGCCCTATCCAAAAGGTTCCGGCGAAGTCGAACCAATTCAGCTCGAACGACCGGCTGCTTCCAATCACATTCCCCTAAGAACTTGGAGCGGGAATTCTTAAATAGGCTAAGACAATAATTCATTATATTTTCCATATGCTTTCTCTTCGCCATCGTTGCTGGGGGAGGGTCCGAGGGACGTAGGGTCGGTTCCACCGTGGACGTGAAGTAACGATATCTACCATCCCATTTGTCGAACAGAAATCGGTTTTCTACATCGCTAGGTGGCATATCGAAGGACCAGCGTATTTCGGAATTCTGTTGCACATACTGAATAATGCTGATGTCAAGAAGTTGTCGTGGGTCTACAGCTTCTGACATATCACGATAGTTAGAATTCAACTTTGCTGGAGCAAGCCAATACGTCATCATAGCAGGCTGATGTTCATATACTTTATGAAACAAATCTTGGAAAATCCTGAGAGTGAACGTAGTGAGTAGATCCAACTCATCTTCTGAAGCTCGTAACGGCATGTGTAGGGGAACCGTAATAACTTCTGATTCAATGTCATCCTCAAGATACAGCGGGAATATGGGAAACTTCGGAAGCTGGTATCGCGTGAATAAGATCAGAGGTTGATAGTCTCGCCGCAATTTAGCCGCAGGACTTAACATCAAGAGAGTAGCCCATATTACACTTGGAGTAGTACCACGACCACTGTCCCACAGTTTGGGCTTCACCATCATATCATACTGGTTCGTTTTCTTCGATTTAATAGCTAGCTTCGCATTCCTCATCGCCGGCAGCCTTTTGTAATATTTTGACACGAAATGGTCATCGAGGATCCCATTCTTTCTAAGCATCAAACACGTTTCGAAAGCAGCAGATTGTCTGGCATGCAACTTCCGTGCTGACGGTTTGCCCGTCAATCCCCGGAAAGGGGACTTTTCAGGGAGGATAGCCTCGCAAACAAAAGCACCGTCTATCCGCTCAATGAAGTAGTTCACCTGAGGGGACGTTTCTTTCTCGTATTGCTGGCGAATATTAGCTTGTACGTAATACCATCAGGGAGAAAATCTTACTAAAGAGCTTGCGTAATGCGCAAGGACAACAAGTGAAGAGGGATAAGTCAACGTCGCCCCAGTGCTGTGGACGGTAAACGATTTATGGTATCGTTCCTTGTCTAAATTCATTCCCAAATCATCGCTACTTCCGCGAATAATCCGGTCTTCCGGGAGAGCTTCGCAGAACCGTCGCATGATATGCTAGGAAATTTTAGTCCAAAGCGCCCGCTTAAACCCTTCGCTCATATATCTCACCTCTGCTCGTTGGGCCTCCTGGATACATGACGCGTGGATAAGGTTATCTCGTTCAACCATGTGTGCGTACTGCAGAGTGCCGTTAGCGAGGCATTCTGAATCATAGAGTGAGAGCCATACTATTGAGTTCGAATGTCGGGCCCTTCCACGGCTTTGAATATACTGAATCATGGTCAAGCTCAGGTCGAACCTAGTATATAGTGAGTTCCGTACATGTTGGATGGGGGTGAAATATTCTCACCTGATAATCAAGTTGCAATCTGGGATATCCAACCCTTCTTCAGCGACGGACGTTGCAAACTGCTCCTGTTAACGAAGAATTCTATGATCTTTGAAGAATAAAGAAAAAAGAACCAGTATACCAGGCAATTGAGCTCCCCTTTGCGAAACTTCAACAGCGTCAAAAACTGCTGTCGGAACGAAAAGTTCGCGCCCCCAATTCCATCATGTTGAACCCCTATAAGAATTCCTGTTTGCATATGCCGCGTTCCGATTCGAGAAAACAGCTCTGCTAACAGCCTCGCTGTATGCCGCTGCTGAACAAATACAATGCATTTGGTATCCGTGTGCCGTTCAAAGTACAAGGAAAGCTCATGGAGCAGTAGTCGCACCTTCGAACTCAAGTGTGCGGGGCAATCCACCGGAGTATCAAACGTGTGGTTTCTGATGAGCTGCCCAGCTTCTCGAAGAAGTTTAATTGCTTCGTCAAGCCCTTTGGAGTGATCTCTGGAGCTAGATTGCATATAGTTCTTAGACACCCTGCCTTCGAGTTTGGGCAATTCGGTTGCTTCCAAAGCGAATGTCCATAGCCAATCTGAACACCATTTCCCCAGCATCGAGCTTGCCTCCAAGGCATAGAAAAAAATCTTTTCAAGTTCACGAATTCTACCAAAGCGTGATTGCATACACTTGTACAAGTCAGTTTCAGATGTTGTATCAAGTTTGTCATACACCCATATCTGTTCAGTTGGCCGCGCTATCGCTTGCCGTAAAGCATCCAGGTTGGACGCGGTTGCAATCTGACTGTCGAGTAGCGTCTCAAGATTCCTAGTGAAAATGGATTAGTTGGAATTCAAATTCAATTATTATCACTCTAGCGATTCTGTACTTTGCAGCTTTTGCCACGTCCACCTTCGCGTCAACTGGCGATGCCGTCATTCCGAATATCTTGGGTCTTTTTTGTGCTTCGGGTCTTCGCAAATAGAAATCTTTCACAATTCTATATATCCCATCAGTTACGGCAGCACGGTTAGCTGAAAATAGCGTAGCTTCTCACCTAGCATACGGGTGCTCTTTTTTGGCACGATGGGCCTCATCGAAAATAAGGAGATTGATTTGTTCCATTCGGATGAAAGAGCGGAGTAAACATTGACACAAGACTTCGGCAGTGCAGACTATAATCATATTTTTCGAGAAGTGTTTTTCCCAAGTCTCTTTGCTCCATAAGTCAGTTTGCATCGCTCCACAGAATTTGTCGATATTCTGATCAATGTTTGCTTTCAAGACCGCCGCTTGTTGGTATACGAGGGTAACACTATCAACCTAGAACGACCTTAGATATCGGGCTTTTTTTCAAAAGAGAACAGTCAGGACAAACCAGAAAGAATGATATACGAGGTGGATTTCCGGTTGCTCGATCAGCTAATTCGCTTTGAATCACATGTTTAAGTAAAAGCACAGCGATAAATGTTTTGCCGGATCCTACACATATTAATATCTGTATAAGAATTGAATGCATGAAAACGTATACCTGTATCCAGCACAGCAATGATATTGGCAGCTTTCGCTTTTTCAAACAACTCCAGTTGATACTCTCTTGGGTCATGGATAACAGAGGTGAAGTCTTGATTTTCTATCAAATTCGTCATAGAAAGCTCACTCTCGGTTTTAACTTTCGTTGCCCGTTGGATGTCTTCCGCCGTAATAGTTTCAGATACTCTTGACAGCCTATAAAAGATTATTCCCATTAGAAAATATAATATTAGGTCCAGGGTAGTCAAAGGGATACTGACAAAGCCTTGAATTTGGCATTTTGCTTCTGTCGTAGATCTTCTACATTTATAGGACCCTGGTCAGAATTCTCTAACTCGTTATCTGATTCCTCTGGCTCTGAGGTTTCGTCAGGCAGCATGGAGAGCTTGTCGATATCCATGGCGCTCATCTTTTGCCTATATCTCCCCGCAGTTGGCTCCTCCAAGGACCCTCCCTATGAGAGCCACACCAGAATCAACCGCCCTGACGGGAGTCAGCTATCTTAAAAAGTGTGAGGTAAAAGAACAGAAGTGGCTGGGCCACGGATGACAAGGCGAGTGTATTTGGACAGCGTGAAATAGTTGAGAGATTGGAGCCTATTCTGTATATTTTCAAGAATGTAACAAAGAAAGGGTAGATGAGAGATATCTGAAATTAATCTAAAGAATGTTTAGAGAGTGTGAATTTATGTCTGTCACCAACATGCACACACACATGTTTGCGATAGTCAAAGAGCAGAGGGTGGAGGATAAAAGAGAATATGTTTAATTTAACTAGGTGAACGGGTATATACAGCATGGTCATCAAAATATATAATTCATAGAACGGGATATGGTAGAACTCATGCAAGATTCCATATAGGTCAACAGGTTGAGCTCCAAGGTACAAGGCTATCAGACATTTATTTACTAACTGATAAGCCTATTCACATGACTTTGAGACCATACCGCCACCAAGATTGGCAGCGGAACCTCCCAATACCAAAAAGCCTCGCTCGACCCCTTGGTACTTCTATTATATACATGATCTGACAGTGCAAGCTATGGCTGCACATCCTGGCACCCTCCATGCACTCTTTTCCCGCGCGAAATCACACAAGAAAGCTCTCGACTCCCCTTCATCAGAAAATACTCCAACTCTCAGCGACGTAATCGCAGAATTCGAAGAATGCCAACGGCGCATTGCACAGCTCTCCTTATTCAGTACCAATGAATCATTAGATGATATTACCACCGGGGATCTACAGTAGGTGGCCGTGCCTGTGCCCAAGGTGCTTCTCGAGGAGATCTACGGGACAAGTCAAACTAAGTTATTCGGACCATCACTAGGTACTTGACCACCGATTATATCCTTGCCGACCTTCTCCAAAGATCATACGACACAGACCGCGTGAAAATCCTCCAGCGGTCGCGGGATGAATATGAAAAATATATAGAGCGTCTAGATCAATATGGCCTTCTCTCGCTGGAGGATAAGAAGCTCTACGAACGATACACAGAAAACCCCCGCTCATTTAGCCTATGCCCTTTAAACGATGCTGTTGCGAGGAGGAATATCAAAATATCCAGGTATCGAGATGAGAAAGAGCTGAAACAGCAACTAGAGGTATAAAAATAAATCCAGATCCGTAATTCTCTGTGGCACTTTGGATTTGGCTGGTGCTAAATGTGGCTTGAAAAAAAAATTCTGTAGTATCTTTCACAAAGTCAAGGCAGCTTTCAAGCTGATGAAGATCTAACTCGACAACTATACCTAGCTGAGATTAAACTCTATACACACCATACATTCCAAGCCCTGGACATGTTATCACAGGAACTATCCATGCTTGCAAGTTCCCAGGCTGCTGCCCCATCGACCGATCCTGGTTACAATCGCGATAACAGACAACGTGACTCCGACAATCCACCAGGCTTTTCTGATCGATTGGATATAGGGTTCGCTCAGAATGTCCGTGGAGGCAGAGTAGGGCCTCTTCTAAGCAAGACCGGCGTACCGCTACAACCATTCGTCCTCACGAGCAAGCGCACGGAACTTCGAAACGGAGTTTTTAGACCCGGCCATAACTTGCCCACCATGTCGATTGATGAATATCTAGAAGAGGAGAGGAAAAGGGGAGGCATTATCGAGGGTGGTGGAGAGCAATCCGACCAACCAAAGGAAATTGACGAAGATGATCTAGAAAAGGCTGATGAAGAAACTATGAAAGCAAGGGCGTGGGATGAGTTCACTGAGGATAATCCGCGAGGGTCCGGTAACACGTTGAATAGAGGCTGATGAATCTGGCCCACGGTCTTTTTGAGAGTGTTATTGGTATGTTTCCAAAACGCCGATGGCGTCTAACAATAGCTATCTAAGCTATCCTAAGTCCCAACGGAGTAGTTAGATTACCCCTAAAATCGCAATACATTGTTAGCGAATCAATGGGGATTCTCATCACAAATTCATGGAACGGAACACACATACACGCAAGGGAAAATTTTCCCTTTCTAGTTCTGGCCACTTAGCCAGGAATAACCCAAACAACTCGCGAGTCAGAATGTCGTATCCCTTCGGAAAAACAAAATACATGTCAGCTTCACGAAATCCTCCCGTCATCTTCAAAACACGCCAACACATATCAGAGCAGAAGCAGTCAACATACTCGACTCCCAAAATGCAATCCGTCAATCAGGAATTCTTTCCCAAACATTTTCGCACCAGGCAATCCTGAGCCCGGGAGCATATCTCTGGTATCCAGTTCATGGAACTCTTCGTCAGTAAACCCCAGTTCGTTGCACTTGGCCTTGGTCACGGCCGTCCAAAAATCCAACACCGCCACACGATCTGTTTGCCTTTCAAACTCCCTCCCTATCTCCACAATCTTCTCCGCAAAAAGTCTCTTTGACGCCCACGTCTTGTACCCCCTGCTTAACTTTGCTATGGATTGCATGACCTCCGCAACTTCGGGCAGGTCGTCGGCAGAGTCCATTTCGGATGAGGGCACATCAACAGGAGGGGGCGTGATCAGTATGATCTTGGTGTTCTGCGCGCCGGGATGGTCCAGTATACTATTCACGTAGTGTCGGATGTGCTCTTCGAATTCTGGCAATGGCACGTAAGGACCCGAGGATAAGAGACAGGCATCGTTGGCACCTAGGAAAATGGTAATGAATAGGGGGGCAGGGGGTCCGCGGTCTGTAATCGTATTGACGATTTCTCTTTCAAATGTGCGACGGAGAGTTTTTGTGGTTTGACTGGATTTCAAGGAAGAAAATTCTTCAGGTCAATGCCACTACATTGGAACAAGTTGGTGGAGGAATGTATATGGGTATGTATGGACCACGGATGATGAATATATGGATATATTGGGTCATTCAGCAATACAAAGAGCTGCTGTTTAACGACTTACCCAGAATATCCTGCATAAATCATGAATCAGTACTAGAACTAAAACACAAGCTATCTCCCCATAGTGGGGCCCAGTTCTTTAACCATCTAAACACAACTGGTAGGGCAACTACATGAATAAAACAATCCTTTCTTAAATAAAATAAAAAATAAAAACACGAATACACACCTTCATTGACAACATCCACCCTGCCGTCGTAATATTGCTCCAATTTCCACGCAAACCCATTATCCCCTTCGTAGCAGGCCCGCTCCGTCAGCGAGTCTCCGAACAGATAGATGCGTGGGTAATCATTTGAGGTTGAGCGTTTAGTCATAGCTATAACAGCTAAAAATGAGCCAGCCGTTAGTTCTTCTGTTATTTGTCGAGTGATTCGCGTTAGGTGCTCTGTTTCGTTTTTATTTAGGGGATAAAACTGATAGTCAGGTCAAAACGGTGAGGGGTGCTCAGTGATTTGGTTGGGATTGTGGGGCAGCCTTTTACCAGTAACGAGATAGCGACTTGGATTTCATGCAAAGTATGTACAGTCAATCAGAGGTAGTTATGGGAGGAGATGCATATATTCATAAGTGTGTATATCCAAGTTTTTTGTTGTCGTCAGGCGAGGCTGTATATTCCTGCATGTTTCTCCAAGGCTACTACCTCATTGGTTCATGGATATATATTTTAGTTGGCAGATATGAATTCCCTTCCTTCCATGCGGTATTACAATAGCTAGTGACTATAGAGTGGTATCATGGCAGTTATCATGCAAAGGACTGCTAGCAAGCGCAATATTTTTAAAAAGGTAGTATCATCGCCATGCAGTGAACCTTTCGGCATTGATCCATATACAGTTTAATATGACAAACAAGCAGCCCAAATCATCATAGGTCATCATATATCAGATCATCGAATGCCGACTTACCAAGTATTTTGGCGGCTTCGTCAGATATTAGAGTGCTTAATTAACTACCCCACGCTTTTTTCTTCTGCTGAATTTCCGCCAGAATCCTCCCAGCACCCAGCACAACCAACTCATCCGCAACCTTCTTCCCGAACACCTCCGCCTCCTCTCCAGACGTAACTTTTTCATACTTCTCAATCTCCACAGCCTCTTTCCCATCCACACTCGACACAATAGCGCGTAGCATCAATGTCTCCTTCCCATCTGCATCCTGCACCCACTCCGTCTCAACCCCAAGCGGCGCGCTACAACCCCCTTCCAACGTCCTTAGCAGATTCCTCTCAGCCAGGCACGCAAAAGTAGTCTTCCTATCCCCAATCTTCTCAACCATCTCTTTCATCCGCTCATCATTTGCTCGTATCTCAATTCCCAACCCGCCCTGGCCCACAGCATGTAGCATCTTGCCATCCTTCGAGTCTAGGTAGTGAGAGATACGTGCGCCTTGGCCAGTCCGCAAAAGGCCCGCAGCAGCCAGGATGAGAGCGCTAAAAGGCCCATCCTGGGCGTCGAGCTTTGCTAACCGTGTGTCGATGTTTCCTCTTACATCCTTGGCTATGAGATGCGGGTAATGTCGTGATAGCTGCGCGATGCGCCGTACCGAGGAGGTCCCCACTATGGATCCTGCGGGAAGTTCCGCTAATGTCATGTTTGGCAGCCCCTTTTTGATAACTAGGACATCTCGAGGATCTTCTCGCGGCATCATAGCGCCGAGAATGCATGTTTTGGGAATTTGAGTTGGCACATCTGTTGGAGGAGAAGATATATTAAATGAACACCGGCGGGAAGGAGGCAATAGAAATCAATAATAAAAGAAAGACAAAACTAACAATTGGAAGCGAAGCAAAACATTTCAAAATCTAGAAGGGTAAAAATAGGAAAGAACGTGAATTAAAAAACCTACCTTTCAATGAATGAACAACAAGATCAATCTGTTTCGCAAGCAATAGTTCTTCAAGTTCCTCTGTCCAGAGATTCTTCGAAGTGAATTCGCGGAGTGGTGTTACTTTATCCAGGTCTGCTGCTGCATCTTTGGTAAGGATGTCGAATTCGTACTGTGGCCAGGCGGCTTTTAGGGCATCCCGCACGAGATCGGTCTGCACCAGGGCAAGTTTTGATTTGCGTGTGCCGATTGTAAAAGTGGTCTTTGTTGGCGACGTTTCCGACGCGGGGTGAGCTTGTGGAGGGGCAGCGGCCATGGTTGGGAGGCTGGATCAGTAAAGAATCCTGTTTGCAATTAATCTATATTTGGTTAAATTATTCAGCTCGCATTAATAAACAGGCTAGGTTCAAAGTGCGGAGGGAAACTGTTTAATTTTTTAAAGCCTTGAGATGCAATGTGGTAGTGATGTTGAGAAATCATCATAATTATTATTTTTCAATTTTCTTCCCGCTCTTAGTGAGTTGACATATGCTGGAAAGATGTTCCGCCACTCAAAAGCTTGGGATAAAACCCATGCATGACATTTTGGGGACAACGAAATAATTTACAGGCTGTGTCAAAGCAGTCAAGAGATGGTAGGACAACCGCATATCCGACTCCAAGAGTATTCATTACAAATATATTATACCTGTTTGGGTTGCTATTGACTCCTGGATTTGTAAATCATCGATCCAGACCATTTAAAGAC